CGCACCACTGAACTCCAGCCTGGCAACAGAGCGAGGCTCCAACTCAAAAAACAAACAAAAAATACTTTCAGGCTGGGAACGGTGGCTCACACCTGTAATCCCAGCACTTTGGGAGGTCGAGGCGGGTGGATCATGAAGTCAAGAAATCGAGACCTTCTTAGCCACCATGGTGAAACCCCGTCTCTACTAAAAATACAAAAATTAGTCAGGCATGGCTGTGTGCGCCTGTAGGCTCAGCTACTCAGGAGGCTGAGGCAGGAGAATCGCTTGAACTTGGAAGGCGGAAGTTATAGTGAGCCAAGATCGCACCACTGCACTCCAGCCTGGCGACAGAGCAACACTGTCAAAAAAAGGAAACGAGAGGAGGGAAGGGGAGAGGAGACACCTTCAGTTGGGGGGCTGCTCAGATATGGTCTAAACGGCTGGAGAAATTTGAGACAATTACCTGGATAAATCAAATCCATCCTCTCACTCAATTCATTTGAATATATTCAGTCATCAAACAAATATTTTTTAAAGAACCTATTACAGACTCAATATTATGTTGAGTGCTGAAGATAAAATGGTGAGCAAAACCAAAGTCCTTGCCCTCATGGCTAACAGCTTAATGGTAACAATAGTTAACATTTATTCCTTCCTTATTATGTGCATGAAACACTTTTCATGACTCCTGTCATGTAACTTTCAGCAAAACAAATATGAGGTATTTATTAGCATAAAAACACACCATAAAGAGACAAAAGTTGTGTGTGTGTGTGTGTGTGTGTGTGTGTGTGTGTCTTAAATAATCAACCCTCTTCCTGCTTTTCCCCAGAATATATGAACTCAACCTAGTTCCAGAACAGGGCTGGGTGCAGACGGCAGTTGGTTGCTTTATGCTGCTTTGTACTGAAATCTGTATCGCCCAAGAGGAGCTCATTAGCACTGGTTGATCACATAGCCACTTGCCCATGTTTTCTCAGCTATTTAGCAGACACAGGATTTGAACCCAAGTTTTTACACTCAGGAGCTTATGCTCTTTCTTACTCCACTGGCCCACCTGTGTACCTCTATACTCTTCTTGTAAATACAGAAAAAGAATAAGAGATGTGATAAGTATCTTAATAGTTGCATCAGTTCTCCTTTGCTTTGTGAATTCTGGATGGAACAAAGGACAACTGTAATAATTCTTTCTTGCCCTTCTCTCTAAATATGTAGTAGCCTTATTTGAGAATAGGCGATAACGGCAAATTTTTAGGAAAAGAATCTACCTGGCCCATCATTAAATGGGAAACAAATGTTTTTTAGAAAAAAAATTGTTATAATGGAGATTATAATAAGATGCATACAGAAGATTCTCATTGTGCCATAGTCTAACTTAAATCACCAATATGCATTTATATTATTATATCATTAATATTAACTTTTTGAATATCATTTATTGAGAATGGACTATACGAACAGCTCTATGTTAAGAGACATATTCATTCAGATAGACATTGCTTATCGTCCACAAATTTATAACGATGACTTTCAAACGGGGGAAGAGAAAGCAAAAGGGCAGGAGTGAATACAGGGAGGAGTCTAAGGTGACACCCAAATCTTTGACTTGGGCTGCTACGCATCCTGAGGCCACAGGAAGAAAAGCTGGTTTGAGATTTACTGGAAGGTTTTTTCCTTTCCTTTTTTTTTTTTTTTTTGCCTTTCTGAGTTTTATTTTCTTTTCCACTTCGAGGGTATTTTGTTTGGTTTCCATCTGTTGCTCTAGATGAAGCACTGTGCTCACTGGTGGTTGACAGTGTCATAACCCTTCTCTGATTATCTCGATTTTAAAAGCCCAATTAAGGATGATAAAATATGTGTTTTAGAGATTTCTGCCATCCTTATAGACCCTTACCATCCCTAAGGATACTTCTTCTGACTATTAATTATATTTTAATTTTTTTCTCTTTTCAGTACAATTATGTTAGTTTGTGTTACTGTGGCCATGCCTCAGTGGTCTACCCTTCCTTCATACTACTTTTCTATAGAAAAACAAAAGGTGCATTTATACCAAAATTTAGTTCAATTCAGCAGTAGTTACAAATGATGTTACTAAAATCTATCGGGAAAAATGATTCATCATAATTTCAAGAATGAAGGGAAAAGGAATGTGGAGAAGTTAAATATCATTGAATAAAGATACTTTGGAAAGCTGTCTGTCTTCATAACTGCTACAAGTGTCCCTTTATAACTTGATTTTACCCAAATGTTTTTAAAAACATTGGTCTAAACTTTTCAACTAAGTTTACTTTTTATTCCTGCTTCTTGTAATTTCAGAGAGACCTGTATGGTTTGATGCATTCTCTGACGTCATTCTGAGATGAAACAATTAAATGCATACTGGAAGACATTTTTCTCTTCTGCATGTTGTAAATTCGGTGTCACCACTGCACGGTTACGGAATGCACAGTTCCCTGCTTTGCTTTCTCATCTCATTTCTGACCCCTCACCACTTCTCCTGCCCTTGAGTCTGATCCTTTTCTGACTTTGAGCCTGGCACCTTGCTGGTGCTGGCAGGTATCAAGAAGGCATGGGCTGGGAGCCAGACTGAGCCTTACAAAGGAGGCTCAGGAAAGCCGACTGACATGGGCCCAATAATTAGCACAATGCTGGACACAATGCTCAATAATGAGCTGCTGGGTTAATGGATGTCTGTGCTGGCTAGCTGTAGTAAACACTTCAAGTTGATAATATGGGGCTGATTGTCTGAGCAATATAAATGAAAATGGACCAGCTCTCTGGTCCTCCAAGGTCAATAGAACATATTTAAAGCCTTCTTGTAGAGATATACAAGTTTTGTTCATTTTTAATATTCATGTCAATAGTTTAAGCAATGTTGTGAAAACACAAACATTCTTAAGCGTTGTTTTTTGGTAGATACCAGGTCTCTCTCTGCTGCCCACCCTGTAATGCAGTGGTGTGATCCTATCTCACTGTAACCTTGAACTCCTGTGCTCAAGCAATCCCTGCTGCCTCAGGCTCCTGAATACCCTGGACTAAAGGTGAACACCACTATGCTTGGCTAATTTTTTATTTTTATTTTTGTAGAGAAAGGGTTTGCTGTGTTGCCTCAGCTTGTCAATCATTTTATGTATTGTCTTGAATAATAAAATATACTTGCAAAGAGAATAGCAGGTAGCAAATTTTAAGATGTAGATTTAGAGTAATACATAATTTTATAATATGAAGAACCTCAGTACCAAAATCTTAGCTATTTATAATATGATAGTCCTTGATGTAGCGCTAATCTAAATTTGACGTTTTCATGACTAAATAATTTGTGGACTCTACAATGTTCTCAAAATTCCTAGTTAGTGTTTTTTAATTGATTTCTTTAGACTTTTTCACATCCAACTATATTATAAATATAAAATGAATACATTAACATATTTTATAATGTGTCTTTCAGTGCACTTTTTAGATTTACTTTGATTTCAGAAAGCTAAGAAAGAAAAAGGAGTTTTGCTAGCCACACTCAATCATATCTGCATAGGCATAGCTATATAGACACCCAAAAATTATGCATAAGCCCCAGGCTTTCAAATGAATGAACAACTCCGACAGTCTCAGGCAACCTCCACCCTCTGGCATATTCATGTGCCATTTCACTATCAAATTCTTATCATCTTTATCACTGCTCCTCAGGGGGCATCTACAACTCTGCAATATTACTGTTCTCAGAGAAAATGGTTATTTTGTAAATTTACCATTTTTGCAAATTTTCAAAAACCTTTTTAATAGAATAACAAGTTTACTCTCTTCAGCAGCAAGTTTGCTGAAGTACATTATTTGTCCAAAAATAGTTGAAGGCCACATTGACTGAGGAAGGGATGAATACTCATACTAATGAGCTTTCTGTCCCTTTCTTGTGGAAATTTTCTCTGAATTTGCTGGGACATTCTGCTGGGTCATGCAGAACCTCCTTGGAATGTTACAGCCTGGGAAATGTAATTACCCCAGGAGGTTTGATTTTTCTCACAACTTCTGGTGGCAGAGGATGGAATAATCAAGTCCTCACTCTGAAAGAAGAGCCCTCTCACATGCCCATCAGAGTGGAAGGGCTATTATTACAGAAAGAGAGCATTTTCCTCTGTTTTTCAAGCTGGTTTATCTCCATCCCACTACTCAAACCTTGGAATTTAGAGTTCACCTTAGTTCTCTGCTTTTCTGTACACAGAACTACAACATTCAGCTCAGCAAACACTCCCTTCACATACAGATTTTCTTTACCAGCAGTATTTTATGTGGAAAACATTAATGGGAGATTAGTGACAAAAAATTACTTCGGGGGAGTCCATTGATCTTTGCCTTCTAAAATTTGTAAACTGCTTTATATAATCATCCATTGCTGCCCTCTTTACCTTCACCATCAACTTCCACATATGAAAAAGTAACAAGAATGGGGACTGAGAAGAAATAGTAAGATGGTTCAGACTGAATGAAGCCATTTCAGTTTTTGTGTGTATGTGTATGAGGATTTCATCATAAACTCTGCTTCCATGACTAAAATCATCATAATTACCAAGCAATGGCTTTTTCCCAGAGTTATATTAGAACAGAAAGGAAGGCATTTGTCATGCAGTGGCATATCTCGGGGACAGCTCACCCTCGTGAACCATGTCTGCCCTTTCTTCCTCCCTCTTTTAATTAACATTTGGAAAAGAATAGTGATGCTAGCAGATTGCAGAGCTGGGAAGAGAGACTCAGAAAGTGATGTGAGCTCTGCCCATCTTCAACCTTGCCAAAGAGGACACATTAAAGTGTTTTCCATGGAAAATCAGCCTTTGTCAACACAAATTCAAAGCAATATGACCTTGAGATATATATATATATATATATATATATTTTTTCTAGGTAAGAATAGCACAGACTGAAGCACCTGGAGAGAATATGTGAAAAAAAAAAAAAAAAAAAAAGAGGAAAAGCATCCTGATGTTAAATCCAGGAAAAAGTTGTCAAGAGCACTTCCTGCCACTTACCTTTTCTGCTGACTGGGCTGTACCAAAAAAGATGGGAATGAAAGCTAACCAAATGATGCAGGTGGTATACATGGTAAATCCAATAGGTTTGGCTTCATTGAAAGTCTCTGGGACACCTCTGGTTTTAATGGCATAAACAGTACAAGTGACCATCAAGAGGATACTGTATCCAAGTGAACAAATGAGTGAGAGATCAGAAATGTCACACTTGAGCACTCCCCTGGCCTTCTCTGGATCTAGTGTCCGCTGCTCTCCATAGTCAATTATGATGTGGGGGGGATCCACAACAAACCAGACAAACACTCCAAGAAGCTGGACAGAGATGAGGCTGAAGGTGATCACCAGCTGGGATGCAGGACTAATAAACTTGGGCGCTGTGACAGATTTCTTCCCCTGCTCAAATATTCGGTGGATACGGTTTGTTTTGGTCAGAAGGGCTGCATAGCTGAAACACATGCCAAGTCCTAGGAAGATCCGTCGGAAGGAGCAGATAATTGTATCTGGTGCTGCAATCATTAAAAAGGTGATTGAATAACAGAGAAAAATCCCTGTCAGGAGCACGTAACTGAGTTCACGTCCTGAAGCCCTCACAATAGGTGTGTCATTATAGCGGACAAAGGTCACAATCACAAAGGTGGTGGCGATGATTCCCAATATTGCAACGAACACAGGCACCACAGCCCAGGGAGAATGCCACTCCAATTTGATGATGGGGATAAGCTGGCAGCCTGTGCGGTTGATGTTTGGTCTCTGATCCAGAGGGCAAAGTTCACAGGAGAGTTCATCCACCTGGTAGTTGTAACCTTCGCAGCGTTCACAGTGCCAGCAGCAAGGGACCCCTTTCACCGTTTTCTTCCTCTCTCCCGGCTTACATGGCAGGCTGCAGACAGACGCTGGGTGGGTGTGTTCTCTGTTAGCCCACTGCATGTCTTCCACCTGTGGGTATAAAAAATTAATGAGCCTTCCATTTTTCCCCCATTTATAATATCCTAATCCTAGCCATGGGTTTGTAATAAATCACAGAATGCTGACAGTACAAATACAGTTTACCATAATAAGTGCCTAGTTTTTTCCCCTGATATTGACTTTATGAAAGTGTTAAGTGATTGGATCCAATATATCATTCACATCATCAACTTGATGAGTGTCATTAGTTTCCATTTGCCTCCTCCATGCTGACCAATGTGATATCTGGAGAAAGATTTATTGGTCTAAACAGTTTTAAAACTAAAAAAATACATATAAAAAATAATAAGAAGCCCCGTGGAAAGATGTTTTAGAGTTAGTCAAAAATATAAACGCCAGAATCCCTGAAACACTGGGTTAGGATATAAACATATATAAAAGATGATCCATGTCTTTTTCTCATACTTAAGGAAATTCAAATCACACTGTTATCAATTTCAAAAGGAAACGGTAACATGAGTTACATTAATCTCTGAGTTTCCTCATGTGATCATGAAGATAACTACATCAATGTGTTTTGCCCCTATTTAGGCTTGAAATATACTTTTTTCTTCTTTCTTCCATTTCCAGGTTCTGCAAAACATCATGCTGAATGAGATAACCTGATGGTAATGGTTTTCATTGAATGAAAGTAGTCCTATGGTGATTTAAAGCAGGGAAATTAGTGCAAATGAGACTTTCCCTCCTTTGCTTAGTTTCTGCCTCAGGGCCTTAAAATCCCACCTTATGCTTTCAGGTTAAATCATAGAATACTTCTATTGAAATACAAGCAGTTCTTGAAAGAGATAGTGCCAATCATTGATCTTTTACCTCAAATTTGTTTTTCTTATTAGACATATAGTAATTTTAGCAGAATGCTAATAGGATAAAACTGAAAATTGTGGATGACAGGAGACTACTTACTATGAAAAGCAGCTACTTTATAAAAGGTAAGCTCTATGAAATGAGTAATTTTTTCACTGGTGTGAAGTGACTGGCATACAAGTTGCCCTTAATACATATTTGTTGACTTCATGAGGGAGTAAGGATGGGAAAGGCACCACAGCAGAGCCCTGAGGAATAAGGAGACAGCTTGGAAGTTCTGGGATTTGGAAATAGAGGGTGCTCAAAGAGGCACAGAAAAGGGAGATGAAGGGCTGTTTCAGAAAAAAGAACAACTTATTTTCATAAGTCCATCTTTACTAATAATCCAAAAGCATTCCTATACTCTGTGGTACTCAGCCTCCATCATGGCCCCCAATAACCTCACCTCCAAAAATTCATTTACTCTGTGGTCCCCTCCCACTTCGAATAGGGATAGTCTGTATAAACAATAGCATATTCCAGAAATGATGGTATGTATCTTCTGAGGCCAGGTCATAAAAGGCATTTTGGTTTCAGCCTTGCCCTCTGCTGGATAATTCACTCCAGTGGAAGCACTCCAGTGTCACTGATACAAGACAGAGGAGCCCCAAAGTGGGACTGAGCCTGCAAGAAGTCCTGGCTTCATCCAGGGAAGAATTCAAGGGTGAACTGATGGCTAGAAGAAAACTTTACTGAAGCAGCAGTGTTGCAGTTCTAGGCAGTGTTATAGCTCCATGACTTTTCTTGCAGAGCAGAGTTAACTTACAGGCAGACAGCAGCCGCTCAAGGCAGTTCTGCAATCATGTTCAAATCTACTTTCAGTTGCATACAGAGTAAGGGGTGGATAATAAAAAAATTTCTAGGAAAAGAGCAATAACTACTGGGTTGCAGATCATTGCCATGGAAAGAGGCTGTTAACGGCCATGGCAATGGTCTTATGGGAAGCTGCTTCTCTCCTGTCCATGTTTTAGCTAGTCCTCAGTTTGGTCCACTGTCCAAGTCCCACCTCCAGAGCCAGGCCCCTGCTACCTCATCTTGAAAACTCTCAGCAGCTCTGTGGAAAGGATAGAGGCCTCCTGCCCATAGCAAGCACCACTTCCCACGCATGTGAAGGAGCCACCCAGAAAGTCACCGTCTCCAGTCAGTTCTTCAGATGACATCTAAATGACATCTTGAATACCACTTCATGAGAGACCCTGAGCCAGGAAAACCCAGCTAACCTGTTCCTGAATTTCTAATCTACAGAAATTTTGTGAGATGATGTTTATTATTTTAAACTGCTAAATTTTAGTTATTTGTTCTGCAACAATGGAAAATGAATGCAGCTCAAATTAAACTTAGCTACTTGGTGGCAACCTTCATTTTAATAACAGTGTAGTCATCTATTGAGAAGGCACACCCAGTGACACCTACTGTATACTTCCTAAACAGCCCAAAGTGTGTAGCTTTAGCAATATTCCTCATCATTCTTATGGTGGCTTACTCTTTGGCAATCAGGTGACTGAAATTGTTCTCATGAATGATTACTTAAGAGTGCCTTCCTTTCTTAAATCTGGGGTGAATGGTTGAGGCCAGAGACTGTAGTCCCCAACGTCAAGGCTCTTAGAGGGCTGTCTAATCTCAAGGCAGAGTAGAGACTTTGTGTGTCTTTAATTTCAGACATCCTCCCTTGAGGATGTAGATGCTACTTCATCTGTCATATGTCAAAAGGGCATTCAAGACTATTAGATCTATCCTGTCAGCTCACCACAAAGGAAATGTAATCTATTATAACCCTCTAGTTTCTTATTAGGTTTTAATGACTCTAAAAGATTTTATTTACTTACAGGATTGCAGGAAGAAAGAAATAAGGGTAAATTGGAAGCACACAGTGATTTCTTTCAAAAATACTGAGAAAGAAATGAAATGCTCCACTGTGTGCTTCAGGTATTAACTTTATACTTTAATGTACTCTTATAAGAAAATACATTTTTGAAGGTTATATTTAAAAGTTAATTATTATAGAAAGAAAATTTCATTTTTGTTGGGAACTTCTATAGATTTACAAGTTCCTGCTCAAAAAAAAAAAAAACAGCAAAAAAATATTGGAAACATTATACTTCAAGAAACCTTAAAGGTCAGTTTCTCTAACTACGTGTCAGAACCTTTAATTCTCAAAATGCTTTATTTCTCAGAAGAACATAAGACATGTTAAAAAAGAAATATACCTATACGAGGTAAGTCTTATTACATAGGATAAGTATTTATCATTATAAGCTAAATGTGAAATTTTCCTTGATAATTTTTTAATGTTTTGAACCAGCAGAAAAATGTTTTTCATAAATGAAAAATAAAGTTAAAGAATATGAAACATACTACAATTTTTAACAGCTGTTAATTTTCTTTTAGTAAAAGAAAGTAAAACTAAGCAAAACGTGAAATTTTTATTATAAAGGAGATTGTAATGTTATACTTTGTAGATTATAACATTTTAGTAAATATGTTAAATATTCATCCTAAAAATACATGACTTCATTTTTATCAAGGAATCTATTTATGTTAAACTATACTTTGAGTTGATATCATAGCTAAAGTCTGAAAACCAACTAGTATCCACTTCAAGAAAGGACAAATAACAAATGCTTGAATAAGGATCTTACAAATGCAGTAATATTTGAGACTAATAACTTATTTTACATAGTTACTAAATGATGATTAAAGCTAACACTATTTGAAAGTAAATTAAAACTGCCTAATTTCCACAACAGTTACAAAGCATAAACAAAAATCATTCAACCCTTTTGTATTGCTATACTAACAAATTATACCATCTTTCATTATAAGTATAAAGAGATGCCTTAACCATGTATTATTAAAATTTGCTTTCCTCACCTTTGGTATTATTCTCTTATTAAGACGTTTTCAGTCTAAAATACATTGTATAACAAATGGATGACAGTAATATAGATAGATCTTCCAGGGGCAAAACAATAGCCTGTTCTTATCTTGACAATGTTTACCAATAGTGATTGATTCAATAGGTTTCAATTCAGTGCGTTTCAGAAAATGTAAGTCATCAGCTGGTTTCTGCTGTCAAATCCTGTTATTATTGCAGACAAGTACACAAATAATCATGAAACCAATGTTTCTGGGTGAGTGTGCTTGCATTTTAAAATTTATTATCTTTCAGAACAGTCAACTAAGAGTACTGTTTTATAAACTCTCTAAAAAGAATATAATTTTTATGGAATAATTTTCTTCTGTGTAGTTTTAATAACTCCTGAAGCAAGGATTACAAGAATGTTGAACAATTAAAAGCCCCATTGTAATTAATAATTTTCAGTATTCACTACAAAACTCCCAGCCAATCTAACATCTCTAATACAATGCTTTTCTGAGATATCAAGTGGTATCTTTGTTAATACAGGATGTGGGAAAATTAATTTAAATACCATGTTTACAGATAACTTATATTTAGTCATACCATTCTTAACATGTTTCTTCTTGCTCTATATGTAAGCATAGTATTAATAATTATTTTGTTGACTAGGTTGACACCCTGATGTCCATCCAAAACTCAACATATTTGACTTATGTAATGGAAGATTCCATGAGTAAATACTTCCAGTGACACTAATGATTATTTTTAAACCATTACTCATTACATTTTATATAGTCAATAGGCTTTATAAATGCATAAAATCTGCATGGTTACTTAAAATTTCAAAATTTAGTATGATATTTTGCATATCACATGATTCACACATGAATGAGTACACGTTACACAGTTAATTTGATAAGAGAACACAAAATTATATAATTATATGTATTTATATATATGTGTGTATATATATCTTCCTTAATATTTTGCATTTCCTTTGGTTCACGTACAGCTTTAAGTGATCACAAAGAAAACAATGCTTTTTTCTTCTTCAAAGTGGCCCATGTCCTTTGAAAATCTAAAACATTGAGATGATCCCCAGATTGAAATCCTGTTTTTGTGATGTTCCAGATATATATATATATATATAACCTTTAAAAGGGCAAAAACTTCTTCTATTTTAAAGACAATTTAATGTGAAATTAAGAAGAAAAATTCATTGACACTAACATTAAAAATAAAATACTTACGGATAAACTTAGCAAAA